ATTTCTCGATGTGTATTATTTTTTTTTAATTTATTGATATTTTTTTATTATTATCGTTAAAATAATTTCTCAAGTTGAGTTCTGGTTTTCGTTAAACCCCACGAATTCTTGCCAAATAGAATTGAGATTTTATTTTTAATTCGGTAGGAACCGATTTTTATCATATTGTATGTTATTAAAATTGTGGCTATTATTATTATTTTTTTACTACTATTGCTTAGTAGTAATTATTTAATAGTAACTACCGCTACTACTACTATTATCGTTTCTTTTTCACATTTGTATGATTTAAATTAAATTTAATGAGTCTTCTTATTTACCAGATAATTTTCTACCACTGTTGTATTTTCTTGATGACTTTTTTTTTGATTATTGCTACTTTTTTGAGCATCATCTTCATCGTCATTGTGATCACCGCTGCTGTATTAGTTATTATTAGATCAAGTAATAAATTAACTCGCGAAATAAATAAAATTAATCCAATCAAATAATAATTTATTTATTCTGTTATTGAACGAACTTATTACTCAATCTAATATGATCAATAATAAGAAAGACTACTTGTATCTATTATAATCATCGTTGGTAATATTATACCGTAATTCCATCGCGTTTTTATTATTATTATTACAGGTAGATTTTCATTTAAATTTAATTTCATGTCGTATTTTGGCAAAGCTTTGTATTTTGCTTGTTTCATGTTAATAAAGTATTTTTATTTCTAACTTACCTTAATTTATCCCACTGTATTGTCTGACGAGATTTTGATCGATGAATTATCAATCGCGATCGATTGTTTTCGATTGGTGAACTTGGAGCTATTGGTTCTCTGAATTCAACTGAAGTCGCCATAAAGAATCTTGAAACGTCAGATTCATAAGGCTATACGAATGAATATATTCAGCATCGATGTTAATGAAACGGCATGGAACCTGTCTATGTAAAATAATCTTAATAAATAAATCAAATAACCGAACTTTTGTCATCCATCATGTAGAATAGCCTTAGTAATTTCAGTGCACAGAAACGATGAAACTTGACATGTATGTTTAATGTTTGACTATGGCCACCCTTATCTTCCTTTCTTCCGTCTTTTCTTCTTTTCTTCTCTCTCTCTCCCATTTTCTCACGTAATATTCTGTAATTTACCATTAACGAAGCATATACGACATGAGAAACGGAAATAAAGTACAATACATATTGTGCAGAATTGTGCGCAAAATTTGTTGGTTCGAATAGAAACGAAAGTTGCTTGAAGGCGCACGCGTGGCGCTTAGATGCTCAGAGCATGGATAAAAGTATATTTCTCTGCAATGTCTCGCCAGTTCGTTGGTTCCGTTTTGTTTCTATTAATTTGCAACAAAAATTCGATTCTTTTTCTAGATCCAATGTACGGGCAGTTACACTCGTCGTTTGTCCGAGCTGAAATGGTAGCAGGGGGATCGATGCGGACGGAAAGTTATCAGCCTAGAAGAGATTTTGGCAACGATTTGAAGGATGAATCGTTTCTCTACATGGAAACTGGTTGCCATCTAGAGTCGTCGTCTATGCCTTCCATTTCCAGGACTCACTGGCCGGACAGTGTCTCCGTTCAAAATTCCGTGCCAAGGAAGAAGTTCTACTGTCCACGATGTAACAGTGGATATACTAGACTTTCGGACATGAAAACACACTGTCATTTCCAATGTGGTAAGGAGCCGCGATATCAGTGTCCATATTGCACGAAGAAGGCGAAATTCTCATCGAATATGTATGTTCACGTGCGGCGAATGCATAAAGACGAAAAGCTACAGATCATCGACTTGTATAAACAATTGTCCAGGGTTCGTTATTAACAATCTAAAGACTAGAGAGAAAGATCAACTTGTTGGAGAAGGAAATTAAAAGAATAGAAGGAAAGATGGGATACTTGACGAAGACTTGATACATATCTCTTAAGTTTATTATCAAACATCTTACTCTATATTGTTCTAGTTGCAACAGTTCCAAGTATTATCACTATTACCTAACGTTTTCTTTTTTTTTTCTGAATGCATAATCTCCTTTGACCAGGAGCGAGAATAATGTTAATCCAATTATTTTTTGTAGAATCGTTTGAAACTGTTGGTTAAGGTTACAACCACGACGCCGCGCCGCTGCCGAGTCTCAGTCCGGTATTCTCTAGAAATCGTGCTTCTCTCATAGTGGAAAAATAGAAACCGAACGACTTTATCGAGAAAATGGCATTTATATTGCAACCTTTCGTTAAGAAAATACCTGACGTTCGTGCAAAAGTGATCCTCATAGTTGTTCAAAGACAAGTCATTGGTCGACTCGTCTTATTTAATGTTTGTTACCAACCTGCTCTGAATAAAGTACCTTTTAAAAATGTCCTCTGGGATTATTATTATTTTCTTATTTTTTTTTTTTTTTTTTTTTTTATTTTCTTTCGTTAGCATGGTTGTTGCTGGAAGTTAGTAATATGTCTGTTTCTTCCTATCGTTGGCGAAAACTTGAACGCGATACGCGCGGCGACGTATCGTTACTCGTCGTGATTCGCGATTTTCCATACGTGAAATATACAAAGCGCGCGCTTTGTCACACGAGCCGACGTGATGTTCTAGCCTTCTAATTTTTAAATATCAAAAGAAAGAAAGAAAGAAAGAAAGAAAGAAAGAAAAAAACGCTTCTCCGTTTTCCACACATTGTCAAATTGTACTGAATGAATGTGAATTTTTTCAGGTTTCAAACAATTTGCCACGTCAAGAATGTTATTGACCGCAGGACAGCGTGGCAGACTTTACAGAAGTTTCATACCGAACAGTACGAGGTATCCTTGCAGCAATTGTACAAGCGTGTTCGGGCAGAAACGAAGTCTCCTTACGCACTTGAGATACGAGTGTGGCCAACCACCGCGATTCAAATGTCCATATTGTGATTTAATCTCGAAGAAGACGTCGAACATACAGAAGCACATACGTCGGAAGCACGAAGGGAACGCGGTCTATGTTCAGGATATTTGTCGGCTGCCAAACTTGATGACTAATTTAATTTAAATCGACTATCGACCGGCGCATCGAGCTTTCTCTTACCAGGGAAGCCATCTTTAATATTGCTCTTCTCAGCTACTCTTTGTTTCACGAATATTCTTCTTTAGTCACATTGCGAATAGAACAACACGTTATGCCGACAGCTTTCCCTGAAAGTAAGATTTCTTCATCGTTCGCCATTCTATTCGGAATTTGCGGCCGAATTTACGATTCGGTGCGGAAAATAAGAAATGTGCGGAAAATGAAAAAGTTTCTCATGCAAAATGGTCTTTTCTTCTTGGATTTTCGTTTTTGCTTCTCTTTTCTTTTCTCTCTTTCTCTCCTGTATTTTTTCCCCCTCTTCTCGATATGTTCTCGCATGAGAACAGGGAGAAAGAGGGAAGAGAGAGAGAGAGAGAGAGAGA